AGAATTAAAACAATTTCCAAGGCCAACTCTTCACACAGGGATTGGACTGGACTGTGGGACATAAGTGATACTTGTGAGGAGTGTGCCTCTTAGCTCAAGTAGATACAAGAGACTAAACGGGCAGCTTCTGTCTGGAGGTGAGATGGGAAGGCAGAGAGGGTCAGGAGCTGGTTGAATGGACCTGGGAAATCAGGGGTGGAAAAGAGTAATCTGCTGTCACAGTATGGGGAGAGCAATTAGGGTCACATAACAATGTATGTATAAATTTTTGAATGGGAAACTAACTTGAAATGTAAACTTCATTTAAATTAAAAAAAAAAAAAACAATGCTTCCCGTCTCTGCCTAAGGTGGCTGGGGACTTTGGCCTGGGACCTTCCAGGTAATGAAGGAGGCAGGAGACCAGACTGGGCTTCTGTGCAGGTGCTCCGTGGGCAGTGTTGTGAACTAGGAGATGGCCCAAGCTGACCTTAGAATCGACTTCATTTTGCAAGTATGGGAACAGAGGCCTAAGGAGGACTCAGACCCCCAGGTAATCAGACTCCCTAGCATGCTGTAATTTGCCTGAATGGCGATTGTAAGTATAGGAGCGGGGGCGTGTTTGTGAAAGGGATTCAGAATTTGGAGTGGGACAAACCTGGGTTCATACAGAGCTGAGCTACTTGGTGGCTGTCATACTTCCCATAATCTTCGAACCTTGGTTTTCTCATCTGTCTGGAAGCCTTCGTAAGGCGTCGACGGGCTAGTTAGAGCGCCCGGAAAGCCCGGAGGCTGGCGTTGGGCCGCGGCGCTGACGCCCACTGCCGGCCAGTGGGCCAGGTTCCCCAGAGTCGCCAGCCCGCGCCCAACGCTTGGCTCGTGGGTCGCCCACGGCCGGATGCCCGGCGTCCGTACCTTCCTCGGCCTTCTAGCGGCCCTGGCAGCCTGCGGCGTCGTCGCCTTCCTTGGCTACTGTGTATATTTCGACCGGAAGCGGCGCGGCGACCCCGCTTTCAAGCGAAGCCTACGGGACAGTGAGTGCGGCGGAGGTGGAGGCGCCGTTGAGCTGGGCAGGGCGGGCCGCGGGACCGGCAACTGGACGGGTCGGACCTACCGAGGCGAGGCCTGACTGCGAGTGCCGCCACCGTCGCCGTGGGGCCCGCGGTGCCGGGCGGGCAGGGCAGTGGGGCCCACGGCGGCCTCGGGACGGGCCTCCCAACCAGCATGTGCCATGTTGTGTTTGCAGAAAGAAGAGCCGAACAGCCAAAGGCTAAGGAACGGGGTGCCCAGGTGAAATGCTTTAGATACACTGGTGTTGCTTTTAGTGAGTTCTTTTTCACTTCCAGTAGTTACCTGACTTGCCTTAGGGTCTCACAGTTGGTTCATCCAGCAGATGTTTCCGAGGCCTCTGTTAGTCGGAATGACTCCAGGGCAGCAGGTTGGGTTTGGTTTGGTTACGATTCATGTAAGCAGTGGCGCAGTGGTTAAGCGCTCAGCTACTGAAAGGTTGGCAGTTCGAACCTAGCTGCCGCTTGCGGGGAGAAAGATGTAGCAGTCAGCTTCCGGAAGGATTACAGCCTTGGAAACCCTGTGGGGCAGTTCTACCCCCTTCTATGGACTCCACTCCCACAGTTGGTTGGAGGAGTACCACAGTACCAAACAGAGGCCTGCCCTCCCCCTGCTTACCAAACCAGTTGCCATGGAGTTGATTCCGACTCATAGCGACCCTATAGGACAGAGTAGAACGGCCCTATAGAGTTTCCAAGGAGCACCCGGGGGATTCGAATTGCGGACGTTTTTGGTTAGCAGTCGTAGCTCTTAACCACTGCGCTACCAGGGTTTCTTCACCCTGCTTAGGTACTGCCTTATTTTTTAGATTTTATTCTCGTACTACAAAAGGAAGAAAGGACAATTTGAGGTTATTAACACGCAGCTATAAAGTAAACACATAAGAACGGATTCTTTTAATTGAAACGAGGAAGAGGAGCCTTTGCCCTAACAGAACCACACAAGACACTTAAAAACGCAGGCTGGGCAACTGTTATGTGGCAGTAACTCAGGCCTTCTTCTAACTCAGAAGCAGAACCCATGTATTTTTTTCTCGCTGAAATAGAATTTATTTTTTAAGTAACAATTACAATCATCTTGGTGGTTGGCTCAGTTTAACCAACTAACATCAGCTCTGAGTGCTATAGGACTTCTTAGGTTCTTGTAGAGCTTTTCAGAATTAACTAAGTCAACCTTCATTCATTCAGTTGGTCAGTGAAAGCTTCCCGTATATAAGGCACTGTTCCAGGTGCGGCAGAAGTCAGCAATCTCTCAGAGGAATAAGAATAACCCCCAAACCAAGGCAGTGGATGATGTCAACAAATACAACAACACCTCAGAGGAGGCAGAGATCTTTTTCAGGGTAGGGTTATTGCAGAAGGTGTTTCATCTACGTATTGCTGTTATAAGCTTACTGGTGTAAAACATCATCTATTTTGCCCTGGATTTGCAACGTGGGCAGGGCTTGGTTGCGATAGCTCTTCTCTGCTCCATTCAGCTTCATCCATGGAGGCTCAAGGGCTGGGGGCTGGTCATTTCAAGATTTGCTCATTCCTTCACATATTTGGTGGTTGATGCTGGCTGTCCACTTGGCTGGGGCTGTTGGCCAGGGCACTCCATATGGCCTGGACTTCCTTACAGGATGGTGGCTGGGTCCCAAGGGGGCAAACAAGTATGTGTGCGTGTGCCTGTGCCTGTGTGTGTGTAGAGAGAGCGAGCAAGAGCGCCCGGTGGTGCCACTTCTGCAACATTGAGGCTTGCTCTATTTTCCAGCGAGGGGAAATAGACTCTACTTTTCGGTAGGGGAGAGGCAAGGCTTTTGAAGAGACCCTGGGACCAGGAATATTGCTATGGCTATTTTTGGAAAACGCAGTCCTGGGAAGAAGACCTTGGTGGGGAGATGTCAGCATCATTCAACCAAGCCTGGAAGAATGTGCTGAATTTGGAGCCTATTTTCAGTGGAGACAGTGTTCAGGATGGAGGGAACTGCACATTCGTAGAGGTGCAGAGTAGGGAATCTGCCAGGCCTATTCAGGAAATCAGTTTGGCAATGGAGTCACAGTGGGGAATAGTGGGAGGTAATGTTGGAGAGCTAAGTAATGGTTGAATTAGGAAAGGCTTTGAAGGCCAGGTTAAGGAATTCATATTTATTGGGATAAGTACAAAATACTTCTGGGCAGTAATTATAAAGTTAAAAAAAAAAAAGGAAACAATTTTTTTTTTTTTTAGTTAGATTGATCTGGGAGGAGTGAGCTAGATGCATTAGAGAGAACAAGCTATTGCAGCAGTACAGGTGAGAACTATAGAAGTTCTGAACCATGGTGGTGTCAGTGTTAACTGGGAATAGACGTGAGAAAAACTGTCCAGGAAGAGTAGATAGTTCATGATGACTGCTTGGTTAAAAGGTCACAGAGAGGCAGGAGTCAGAGATTTTGACACTGATAAGGAAGTTTGGCAGGGAGTGTCTGAGGAGCTAGATATGGAAGTAGAGATACTTTCTCTGACCTCCCTGATTGAGGTGGAGCCTGGTCCAACTCCACAACCCTTTCATTGCCATCATCCATACTTGCAGTTGCACATTCGTTTGTGTGATTACTTGATTAATGCTTTCTACTTATTAGACTAAGCTCCATAACAGCAGACTTTGTGTTTTATTCTTCATTGTCTCCCCAGTGCCTGCAACAGTGTCTAGCACATTGTAGGTGCTCCGCAAATATTTGTTGAATATTGTTGTTTACTGTAGACAGAGGGAAACAGCTTATAAAGAGGCACGAACCCCAAAAGTACAATACTCAGGGAATGAATGCTGTGGCCAGAAAGATAGCTGTGTGGTGGGGTATAGTGGGAAACAAAACCAGTTTGGTGTTTTATTGTGGGAAGCTTTGAATGCTATACTGAAAAGTGGATATTTTTCTGTTGTGATAGATAATCAATGAAGGTGACTTTATTTCAGAGAAGGGATGCAATGATTTTATTTCATTTTTTAAGGAAGATCATTCTGTTATCATTATGGAAGATGGGGTGGAGGAAGGAAATTGAAGACAGGAAAATCAGTTCAGTGGCAGTTCAGGTGGGAAATACTGAGGATCTAAATTATTTGAAATGAAGAAGAGGCAGAAGCTGGATTTTTCAAATGTTCTTTCATATAATCCTCATAACAACTCAGTTTTTTTCATTTTATACATGAGTAAACCTAGGCATAGAATTCTCCCCTCCTACCTCTTCTAGGATCTTTCTTCCTTCTCATCCCAGTACATTTTGTTTCTCAAAGTATGGTCTATTTGATTTACCTGGGGTGTTTGTTAAAAATATAGATTATTTGATCCTAGCACCAGCAACTCGGATTCAGGAAGTCAAGAGTAGCCCAAGGGATTCTCTGACTTTAGAGTGCTTAAGAATTACCTGAGGAGCTTGTTAAAATTTAGATTCCTAGGCCCTACTCCTAAAGATTGTTTCAGTAGGCCTGGGTAGAGCCCAAGAAACTGCAGTCTTAACAGATTCTTCAGGTGATTTTTTTGGGAAACCCTGCCCTCAGCTTCTGACCTCTTTCCAAGTCTCCCTAGGAGCTCTTTCCCTTCTCCACATGTGATTGTCAGATGTACTACTCTATACCCAGTCTCCTGCAGTATTCAGAGCCACATGCCTACCTGCCAGACTCTGTCTCCTGCTCTTAAGGCATCTCAGCTTTGTATGTTCCAAAGTAAATTCATCATCTCATCCCTCGCCACTGCTCCTCCTCCTCTGCTCCCTTGTGATGCTCCTAATATCACTAGCCTCTCTGCCGTGACCCCACTTCATCTTGCTTAAATACCGACCTCATCCTCCACAATCAGTCCCAAATTCTTACTGTTTTTCTACGCTTATCACAGACTTCGCTATTTCTAATGCTTCCACACTACTTCAGGCTTTTATTACCTTTTACCCACGCTTTTGCAGTCGTACCATAACTAGTCTCCCTGCCTATTCTCATGCAAACAGAATAAACTCTTTCTCTCCACCGCAGCTCTGAATATGTAATTCCTTGCAGTAGCTCCCTACTCAGCAGATTAGCTTGGCCTCGTGGCCTTTCATGGGTACCTTCTATATTAACACCTTATTTTCCTAAGGATTGGAAATGATATATGTAAAGTTCCTAGTCTATAGCTGGCTTTCAGTAATTGGCAGTTATTATTGTTACAATTAGATTTCCCCCTCACTCATCCCATCATAATCCAGCTACGTAAGATCACTTGATATTTCCCTGCAATTTTCCATCACTTGTACTTTCTTCACCAAAACTTTCACTGAACCTCTCCATATCTCAAATGCTATCTTTTCTGAGAAACCTTTCTTTATTCCCCAACTAGATGTAATGTCTCTGGACTTTGAGCCCTTGATATTGGACTTCATTGTTGTACCTAAGGGTACTTGTCATTTTCCTTAGACTGTGAGCTCCTTGCGGATGGATGCATGGGGTCTTGGTTTCCTATCCCTTTCAGCTCTTCCTAGGGTCCTGTTCTCACTAAACGTCTGCTGAATGAAACCTATGGTTGTTACTGATCATTATTAGCATGTTTACTGATAAAACTTAAAATAGACCACTCTTAGGCTCACCCTATTTTACAGACAGAATTCTTAGGGAAAACACAAAAAACCCTCTGGATGTAGAAGATTGAAGCTAAAGTGACTGGCAGTGGAATTTATATTTTGGGATAGCGCCTGCCTACCCTACCTTGAAAGACCAGCCCCTGGGCATGTTACCAGTGGTGATGCCATCCTGTGGCTATGGTCGCCTTCCTGAGCTAGACTGCAGTGAACCACAGTGTCTCTTCAGGGCACTAACTGCCAACCCCCCACCATGCCCTTTATCCCTCTACTTGTGAGGGTTCCTGTACAAAAGCTTTAGTATATCTTTTTGCTTTCCCTACTGGAGAGTTGGAGCCCTGGTGGCGCAGTGGTTAAGAAGCTATGGCTGTTAACCGAAAGGCTAGCAGTGTGAACTCACCAGCTGCTCTGCGGCAGAAAGATGTGGCAGTTTGCTTCCGTAAAGATTTACAGTCTTGGAAACCCAATGGGGCAGTTCTGCTGTATCCTGTTGGGTCGCTATGAGTTGGAATCAACTCAGTGGCACCAGGTTTGGTTTTTTGGTTACTGGAGTTATGCTGCATGAACAGGGATCCTGATCTAAATGACCCTGTAGGCCAGAGAACCAATTGCAACCAAAGCAACAAAGCGCTGTTAATACCTTAGACAAGAAAATAGCTTCGCAACATACAAAGCTACGTTGTTATAAAAACCTGTTGCCGTTGAGTCTACTCCAACTCATAGCCACCCTTACTGGCTAGAGTACAACTGCCCTATAGGGTTTCCAAGGATTGGCTGGTGGATTTGAACTGCTAACCTTTTTGGTTAGCAGCCATAGCTCTTAACCACTGTGTCACCAGGACTCTACCTTTGTTATAGTTATATTAATTATAGTATTTTTCTTGTGTATTTAAAAAGCTGGGTAAAACATGGATGTGAGTTACTATCTCAGTCTAACTTGAATATGCCACGTTTTTTTTTTATCAGCTGGAATTGTAACTCCATTTTAAGAAGTTCGTTTAAATATTACAAAGAATTGCCTTATGTCATACTTTGGATTTGGAGATTCAGCTCAAGATCTTTTGTTTTCCAATTAGTTTGGTCAGTAACCATACAATGTATGCTCACTACTCACTGTTAAATATATTTTGTGAACCTTTTAGTTGTGGGATCCAGCAAATGAAAAATTGCAAGAACTTCTGCATGAGGTACAGATGGGAGAACTTTGGTTATCTAGAGGTGAGAATGTAAATATTCTTTTGGAAATAGTTTATGATAGTTTATGTTCAAGAAATATTTAATTAGTATTTGAATGTCAAATAACTAACTCAGTGTGTTAACCAACTTGCTTCAGTTAATAAGAAGCTGTCTCAGCATTTTAAACTTCATCACACTGTCTAGCTCTACCATACTGTAAAGTTTATATTGCAGTCTTAGAAGTGGGCAGATTGGAGAGCAAAGCCAAATACAAGAACACCTCATTTATTGTCAGGTAAAAGTCTAAGTAAATGAATTTTCCAGATTACTAAATGTTAAGAACTCTGCCTTCTTAGAGAATTCTTGATAAAGCAATAGTACTTATTTCTGGTGATCAAATTATTATGAACCACCATTCTTGTACTGTCTAATGCAATGATGCTTGTAGAACTTTACTTAGAAATCAAATTTCATAAATCTCCTATTTTTCCCCCCAGATATGTAATTCATGTTTATTTTGAAAAAGTTGAAAATTATGCTCAAAATTCATCAATCTGTTTCAGGAGAGCATAGAATGGGGGTTGAACATCTCAGCAATGCTCTTTTACTGTGTGGGCAACCACAGGAACTTCTGAAGGTTTTCAAAGTCACACTCCCTCCCAAGGTATTTGAGATGCTGTTGCACAAAATTCCCCTTATTTGTCAGGTGAGCACATATGTAACTATCTTTATGAAATGAATACTGTAAAAAACTATGTTGAGCTTGGTTACAAAGAAATAGCAAAGTATGTGTGTGAGTAGCCCAGTTTTAAATGACTAAGACTATGACTTTTTGGTTGCTTTTCTTGCTTTATAATGAAACAAGTCTATTCTTTCATATTCCTTTGACTAATAATGAATTGTATATTTTGTTGAGTATTATCCATGCTTTAACATTTCAACTTTAAAGACTGCATTGTTAATATTTTGTTTATCTTTGTACTTCCAAAGACATCGTAATTATTGATAGTAATGTGGACCAAGTCATATAAGCTACATGGTATTAAGTGACTTAATGGCTTAAAAACTAGAGATAATACAGAAAACACTAAATTATCAATGCAGAACAAAACTTCTGCTTTCCTTTAACATGAGAAAATATAGAAATCGTTTTGATAAAATTAAACATACAGGTTAATTAGTGTTCTATTAAGGACAAGTTTAGATTGGTAGCAAATGAAATCCATTCATAAGCCAACTGATTAATAGCTGTTATATTTACCAAACTGCTTGGTATACTTATGCATCAACTAGAATTTCCCCAAATGCCTAGATTTGTTTCAAAATTCATTTAGCCATAAGATACTACGTTAACTTTGGTTCATTTTATATTGATCACGTCCTATTATTGGTCTGACTTATAATTATTCCTGCCTGATTCAGCTTTTGAAGAAAAAACAAAAGCAAAAAAATCAGACTCCACTAGAGAATAACAGTCACCTCTTAAAAACATTCCCAAGCTAGTCTCAGATGGGATTTTTCCTGAAGATACATGAAAATATTGCCAGGATAAGAATGTGTAATGCTCACTCTCACACAAAAAGGGAGGCAAGAAAAGGATTGTGCATTGAAATGATTAGCAAGTAACTATTTTATGTATTTACCAGCAATTTGAGGCAGACATGAATGAACAGGAATACTTGGAGGATGATCCTGACTGAAAAACATTTCAGCGTATCCACAGTCCAGTCAGAATACTATGGTACCATATAGTATAAACAACTGCTTAGTGATACTTCCATTTATTTTACTTTTAGTAATAAAATTTTTTTTCTATCTCATACATGATTGAGTACATATTTTGCTTTAAAATTAACAGTCACAATTGAAGAAACAATGGTTTATTTTTCTAATCAAGTGACCAAGCTGCTGAATCTTAAGGCCTCAACAAATGTTGCATCTTATTTTCACTGAACAACAAGACCTTCTATTTGATTATTCCTGGTACACAGCAATTTTGTTTCTCCAGTGGTTTCCATTTGCCAGTCATGGCAGTTTAACATGGTGACTTTTGCTTTCAGGGGATCCTATCAAATGAATCCTCATTGCTAGTTTCAACAACTGTTAGCAATATTACATCAAAAGTTCATCCATCAGGACTTCTCTATCGTGGTTGGCCGAGGAGTCCTGCTTTGGCTGCCAGAGCTTCATTCTGCTGAATATGATATTCCTGAAATCTCATGGATATTCTTTGCGTCATTTTTAAGTATTTCTGTAAGCAATGTTCTGAACAGGTGATCTAGAAATAAAAAAGGAAGATCCAAAGAGACAACATAAAAATATCAGTTTTTAAAAATGTGTTTCCAAAGAACAACCAGTGAGTGTTTTGTTTTACTTTGACTATATCTGAGAATTAAATGGTATCAATGTGTAGCAAGTGACCATAGCTTTCAATTATTTATACTTCCATTTATTGACAAGTGTAAATATATACTGAATGCCTACCAGTTTGCTAGGCACTAGAAACAATGGTAAGCAACCCTCACCTTCATGAAGCTTCTGGTCTATTTTTCTTGAGGGCACGTTTCAGTATTAACTAAAAGCCCACGTTCCCATCCCCTTTTTACGATTGTTAAAATATAGGCCCGGTAGCGATTTTAACGAGAAAATCCATTCTTAATAGAATTCTCAATGTTTTATTTTTTAACAAAAATGTTATACTTAGCATTTCTCCTAAACTTTGTCAGTTATTTAACAAGTACTTATTGATTGCTGATTATATGCTAAGTTCCTGGCATAAACGTTTATCAATATCTTCCACAGAAGGAAGTTTTAATGCCATTTTGAACCAACGTATAAATGTTTTGATAGGGAATATTAAAAGTTAACACTTCTAATAGGATTGGGATTTTGGAGTCCACCTATGCAATATGAGTCATCAAATTCAAGCTCTTTCCAGTCCACGTGGGTTCTCAGGATCAGACTGAAAGGCCCCGTCAAGTTTTTCTAGCCAGGCAATCTTGACTGAAGCTTACTAGTAAGAATCTTGCTGTGGAACAGTAACTCAGCAGCCCCAGGCATCTTCTCTAAAACAGTGTGTCTTGGGACAATGTGACTGTCATATTAAGTTTGGCATTGTTAAACTTGATGCCATGGATCACTGGCTGCCTCTGTTCCTTTGAGCAACGGAACATGAAAGGTGGCCCAAATTTCTATAACTGGGAATAAGAAAAATGCTTAGGGGAATCCTATTTGTATTGTTTATCAAAAGTTTAGAGAAATTTTAGTAGGCAACACTTCATACCTCTTCAGGTTTCACTTCTCTTGTTGTGAAGTCTTTAACACAGTCCAAAAAGCAGGTTTCTGTAAGTTTATTGTAGGTTCCAAGAAATTCCTTAAACTATAAACAAATCAGAAAAGTTCTTTAATGTTATCCTCCCCCCCTTTTTAATTGTAATGAAAATATATACAGCACAACATACAGCAGTTCAACAATTTCTACTTATACATTTCAGTGACATTGATTATATTCTTCAAGTTGTACAATTATATTCTTCAAGTTGTGCAACCATTCTTCCTATGTTTTTCCAATTATCCCAACACCAGGTAATGTTTGGTTTTTAAAACATTTAAGTATGCTTTGAAACTTAATTACTGATGTTTTATATTTAGGTAAAATATTCTGTCATACTTGAAATCATAGGCTCTTTTACTAATTTAAATGAGTATAACAGAATATACAAAATATAGTTTTCTAGTTGAATATTTAGTTCTTACCTGTCAAATGAAAAATACATATGCTTCATATCATTTAATATCCACTTGCAGAAATGAAATATATTTTGTGAGATCACTCATTGACATGGTTGCATCCAGTAGTGTCTTAAAACTTTTTCTGAAAAATCCTTTTTCCTTAATTATAACATCTTACCTGTTTTATCTGATCAGATTCTGGTATTTGTGTAGCCATATTCTTTTGGTATGGTTATTAGTCACCTATTTAAAAAAAAAAAAAAAGAAGTTTGTCAATCTATAAACAAGTATTTTTGGACTAACTGAAGAGTTAGGTAATCAAACAAGAATAGTTCATGAAATAGAACTGAAACAAGTTTACCTGAAGCTACTGTTCATATTTTATAAATTCCTAACTGTGTATGTAAATTATATGCCCACCTCCCAGCCTCCCAGATTACTAATGACAATAGAACCTTAGTAACTGTTACTATGTCTTTGGGTGGTTCAAACCATTAATGTGCTCGGCTGCTAACCGAGAGACTGGAGGGATGAGTCCACCCAGAAGTGCCTTGGAAGAAAAGCCTGGTGATCTACTTCCAAAAAATCAGCAATTGAAAACCCCGTGGAGCACAGTTCTACCCTGACACACTTGGGGTCACCATGAGTTGCAATTCACGTGACAGCAACTAGTTTTTCTTAATGTTACTATGGACCCAAAGGCCCTGTTTTATTCATCACCAATCTATCGAAACCTCCAGTTTTAAGATAAGTTTGCACTGCTTAAGGGAATTAAAGGTGCCCAAGCGATCGATTTCTTGTTGAACCTTGCTTGCTGAACGTGAAGAGGACTTGAAGCACTTACTGATGAAGATCAAAGACCACAGCCTTCAGTATGGATTACACCTCAACATAAAGAAAACAAAAATCCTCACA